TATGCATGTCCATTGGTCTCTGGATTTGAATCAAGATGGCTGAATAGTGGCCATTTTAATATTAAAAAATCATCAGTCATGCATTTTTGCCATTCTGGAACCAGATCTCGGTCGTGTATGGCTGGATTTTGCTCAACCTTGGTACATACGTTAGACAAGATAGGACCTTGATGCACATCATTTTGTTTTTCAGAATATATTCAAAATGACCATTTAATAGGTGGCCATTTTGCTTTGATGAATGTGCTTCCGAAGCTGTATCTCTGGCTTGTCTTTACTGAATATACACACCATACATACTGTAATAATACTTTAAAATATTGTAAAAACAACAATTTTATTTTTATTGAATTGAATTCAATGCAAGAATCTTAATTTACATCAAGTGCCAGCAATCTCATTGTTACATATTAGGTACATCACGACGTTGTAATAAGTCTGAAATCAGATTTTAATTGATTATGTGTAATGTACTCGATATTTAGTGGAAAATTCATGATTTTATACCAGTCAGTGTATTTGATTAAATAATAAATTAAAATCCTGGCAAAAAATTAATGCTTTTACAGTACCTCATTGTACGCATTGTGTGTAGAGGACAATTTAATCCTTAAAGGCCCATGCCGCTGACACTGGGACAATATTTAATTCTCATTGTTTAAATGTTTACAAACTTAACAGACTTTTGTCTGTGTCTATTTACCTTGAGGTCAACAACGCCCGCCTGCAAAGAGAAGCTTTCAGAAGCTTATAGTCTCTCATACCTACACAGAGTGGATTATAATTTCAAATGCAAAACAACAAATAATTCTAAAATGCCTGCCTCAACATGGACAATGAGTTTCCACAATAAGTACAATCTCAGCGCTTTCCCCCACGATGTGTTGATTCATGGTTGCATTCGTTGTGTTTTAATTAAATTCACATCAGTACATGCTTGTTATAGGTGTTGATATTTATTTGTCATTTGAGTGTAAATATTTGGTGACAGGTTGGCCTACGTTCGAAAGCACATGTTTGTTACACTTTTACAATTCAACAGGTTTCCTATAAGAGTATAACACCATCTATTATTGCGGCTATCAATTGGTATGTCTATTGTTAGTTGCAATGTACACACTGTGCTATTGTTGTCACATTTACATAACAATAGATCGTGTATGTTGCTGTTTTAATGCCCTTGTGGTTGGTGGTATTGGTAGGGGTCGTGTCAAGTTATACTTATCTGTGAGCTGCAGAGGTTTTCTTCACCAGGTTTGTTACACACAAAAATTGAGTAATTTGCTGCTTTTATGTTTTAGTATTTGTTATGAAACTAGCACATATTCAACTAGGATATTTTCTTTCTTTCTGTGTTTTATAGCACTTTTAATTAATTTATTAATTAGAAATAGTCACCTATTATCACCTGGTTTCAGTTTCATCATCTTCACACGTACATGTATGGACTTCGAATTTAATTTTTGCTGCTAGTGATTTTATATCATTTGTGCATTCAAACTAGTGGTGAAAAAGTTAAGTTACTTTTGTGGTCAGATGAACAACAAATTAATGTCTGGATTTCAGGTCTGGCCATGCTGTTTGAAATATTTGTGTGATGACTTATTTCAGGAATTTATTTAGACATCTGAGAATGTTTATGAATATCATGATCCGGTGACTTTGGTGAATTGTCGATCATTACACTAATGCGCAGTGGTCGCCGCGCAGCGTGTGTTAGAATTTCATGTAAATAAACAATGTATTTTACACGCGTTGTATACGTCGCTA